AGTGGGAAAAGTATGGACTCTAGATTGGAACAGACCTGGACTGAAATCTTAGCTTTGCTGGGGTGAATTAAGCAAGTGACCTCACTTCCTCATCTGCAAAGCACTGATAATAATGCCAATCTCACTGGGTGGTTATAAGTAGGCGTGAGTAGTACTCAGAGCAGTCAACTGTAGCTCCCAATTCTCAGTGGTAAGATGCAACAAGGAGCATAGGATACTGCAGGTGGAGTGCCTGTCCTGCACAGCTCCCCTCCAATAGGTGACTCAGAGACCCATCTCCTTTCATCCACACAGGTTAGAGTTGACATCATATATTTGTGGGTGACACTATTCAATCAATAGCACCTCACACTTCCAAAAATCAACCAATGAAAGCCCTAAGATCCCAATGGCTTGATACAGTTGTGCATGGATCTCCATGAATGGCAGCTAACTACAGTGACATTATGGACCAGACACTGTGGATAAAATGGTGATCAAAACAAGCTTCCCTTTTTCCCAAGACGCTCATAACCTAATTACAGACAGAAAATGACAGAGATTTGAGTTAAGTGTGGTAAGTGCTCTTGTGAGGGCAATCCAGGCTGTTGTACTGCATTGCACTTATAAATCCTAATCTCTGTGTTTGTGCTGGAGTCCTGGTGTGGCACTGTAGGATAAGCACTAGACCAACAGGTCAGTTTAAACTGCAAGGTCGGCAGTTCAAATCCACCAGTCACTCCTCAGAGACCTATATATATAAGGTCGTTCTGAGTCAGAACTGACTCGGTGCCACTTAACAACAATAAAATGCATGTGGTTACAATTATATTTGGAGTCCTGGTATGGGGCCGTAGGATAAACACTCAACTTCAACATTGGTTTGAACTGCAAGGCCAGTGGTTCAAACTCACCAGCCACTGCTCAGAAACCCTATGCAGGGTCCCTATGAGTTAGAAAGGACTCTGAAAAGCACACAACATCATTCTATTTGGGAATGGATTGTCTTTGTTAGTTCGACCAAACTGGTGTAGAGTGTTGAGTCAATCTCTTTTGAGATATGTTATTATGTTAAGTGCCATCAAGTAGTTTCTGAATCAATACTTATAGCGACCCTGTATAGCGTTTCCAAGAAGCAGCTAGTGGGTTTGAACTGTTGACCTTGTGGTTCACAGTCCAGTGTTAATCCTACAGCGCCACACCAGCAGTCCATATAGAAGAGATTAAACAAACAAGCTAAGAAGCTGAGATGAGGAAGAGCGATGCCAAGCTACATGAAGATCACCCATGAGCAGAAGCTCAAAAGAGATAAAGACCTTCCTCCAGAGCCAACAGAGACCGAAATGCATCCCCTAGAGCCAGCACCCTGGATTCAGACTTCTCTGGTAGCATAGTGGTTACGAGTCAGGCTGCTAACTTCAAGGTCAGCAGTTTCAAACCAGTGGTTCCGCAGGAGAAAGATGAGACTTTCTGCTCCCGTAAAGATTTACAGCCTCAGAAACCCTATGTAGGGTCACTATAAGTTGGAACCGACTCTACAGTACATAACAACCACCACCACCAAACTGTAAGATAATAGATTTCTATTCGTTAAAGTCATCCTCTTGTGGTATTTCTGTTATAGCAACACTAGATAGCTAACACACATAGCTAAGACACCAGGCCTCTTTTCCTAGCTCTGCTTAGTTTGGGAGCTCTGCTGAAGCTTGTTCACTGTCACAACAACACACAAGCAAACACGGACAGATGTGTCATGGCTGCATGTGCACTGTACTGTCTGGGAATGGCATGTACTCTTCCACATGGAAGGTGAGAATTCTACCACTGCCCTTGGCTCATAATGAGTGTGAATTTTTATTGAATGACTGAATGAAGAACCCTGGTCCTCCTTCAAAATGGCAATGGGATAAGACTTTTAAATTATTCCAATTTAACAATAACAACAAAAAAATTAAAAGGAAAGACATCAGAATAGTGTCTTCCTTTGAAAGATCAGTGGGAACTAAGGAGTCATTTCAGAAGGTCGCCACACCCTTTAGGTCATGCTTGGGGACTCCTGAGGAAGCCACCAATCTAATCTCTCAGTTGAGCAACAGAGAGTGAACTAAAAAAAAAAAAAAAAAAAACAAAACAACAACTAGAAAACCTCACATAACACAAAAATATCTGAGGTTCGACCTATTAGCAGGTCTGAAGTTATGCTGAGCTTGTAGTGCCTTTCTCCATTAACCATATAACTGGGACACCCCTGACCTCCATTGACTCTCATCAAAGAGGGAGGTCTTTCTAGTTTCAGTGTCAACCCTCAGACACAGAATGGAAACCTCCAACTCCCACCCCCAAGCAAACCTGATATACTGTCAGTCCAGCCATTGGTCAGAGAAACTACTCTGAAAATATAAACAAAGTTCATATCTCCACAAAACACACGATTAAGGCCTTATTAACTCTCACACCAAGCACACAGTGCTAATACAACACACACTCCTTTCTTAAAAGCTATAGCAGATACCAGTGTCAACATCCGGGAAGGTATCATTCAGTGTAGTACCAAACCATACAGAATTTTTATAACATTTATTGCCAATTTCAATCATAGAATAATATGTAATATCGTTGTAAATTGCTAAGCATACTGTTATATGAATGTTGTTGTTGTTTTTAAGTGCCTTTGAGTCTGTTCCAACTCATAGTGACCCTGTTAAGGGTTTCCAAGGAATGGCTGTTGGGTTTCAACCACCAACCTTGTGGTTAGCCGTCTGGTGATTATCCTACAACACCACATCAGATTATATGAATATTAACAGCAAAATTGTTTTATAAAATCTTTCTATTGTATTATTAGTTACATTATTAGTAACTGAGCAGAAGCCTTTTTTGAGTTTTCTTCTTCTTTTCCTTTAATTACTATTACATTGTCAAAACAGTTATGGGTACAGATTCATAGATACTAATTACCACAAAACTTGACAAAATCATTGACCATAGAAACAGCACATGCTTGAAGATGAAAACATGTGATGGGAAGTATCATTTGTAACTGAGGAATACAAGTTTCAAAAAGTAAATAAACCTAGAGTTTTAGCCTTGTTGGCATATTGATACATGTAAACTGGGCTTACCAGCTGTTCTGCTGGAGAAAGATGAGGCTTTCTGCTCCTGTAAAGATTTACAGCCTCAGAAATCCTGTACAGGGTCGCTATGAGTCGGAACCGACTCCACGGCATATAACAACAACAATAACAAGCTGGGCTTATAAAAAGTGTTTTTGCTGTTATAACTAACTACAGGAATATTTTTATAAAACATAGTAAATTTGTAGTGAAACACTGCACAAAATTTTATAGTCAGCCATTTTGGTGTCACCCCGTCTAACAATGTCACCCCGTGTGGCTCACACCTGTCTCCTTCCATCCCTTTAGTGGACATGGCCATTGGTGGATATGGTCTTCAATGTGGGTACTGATTATAGGGAAACTTCCCAGGAGCAGGGAGAGCCTAGAGACCCCAATCCAGGACTGAAAAGACACCTTCTTTAATCCCTCTGCCTGCTGAGAATAAGGGGTTCTGCACTTTCAAGAACATATAAATACCTGACAAAGAGACTTACAGGCACAAACCACCACAACCTAATCCGACCCCAGAGGACAAGCACACTCCCAGTGCAAATCCATATGAGTGTATACACACACACACACACACACACACACACACACACACACTGTCCTTCAGCAAAAAGTGAGGTCAAGTTTATCTCCCATGCTCCTACATGCTTGTTGAAGCCTCTGAGGGTCGGGATGGGCTCCAGTGTTCCCCAGTCCTCCGCAGTGTATACGAAACCAAAAGAAGAATCATTCTAAAAGTGGGATTTCTGGCGCGCAAAAGAAACCAAAAAGAGATCAGAGACGTTATGGGCGCCTCTCCCTCCACAAATATTTGACCAGGCAGGCGACCACCAATATCCACGGTCAGCTGAGCATGGACTCCTACACGGATATGTAGGGTTCAGAACGTTTATGGGAAAGATAAATGAAAAGATAATGGAATTTCCCAGAAAACTTTTTGAAGCCCCTTGTACTAGGGCATCGCTAAGAGTCACACACAAGTCCCCTCGGCACCTGGAGCTTTCGGGGAGCGCTCAGACAACTTCCATCCCCCACTGCCAGCGTCAGGTGTGGTCACAGTTCCAACCCCAATACCCCCATACCTTCGCCTCCGCCCGACCCCCACACACCACCTCCACGATTGCGGGGTAAAAGCACTCCTGACACCTTCCGCACCCCAGGAGCCAAGTTCTTCCCCTAACCGCCCACACAAACAAGCGGCCAAGCGTCACGATTCACTCCCATCGCTTTGGGAAGCGACGAAGGAGTTGTGTGACGCAAGTGGACCGAACATTGAGCTGCCCGGCAAAGGTTGGAGGCTGCAACTCAACAGCTGTTGGGAAAGAGAAAAATGAGGAGGTCGATTGCTTAAAGATGTGCAGCCTCGGAAACACTGGGAAGCAGTTTTACACTTTTGGCAGCGTGGTGTTTATGAGTCGAAACTACCAGCTGTTCCACAGCAGAAAGATGAGGCTTTCTGCTTCAGTAAAGATTTACAGCCTCGGAAACCCTTTACAGGGTCGCTATGAGTAGGAACCGACTCCAAAGCACACAACCACTACCGCCATGAGTCGTTGTTATGAGTCGAAGTAGGCTGGTGGGCAATGGGTGGGGTTTGGGGAAGCATAGAGGTAGGGGCAGTGGTAGAGCTGGCCAGAGCCCCGCGCCCAACCGGTGGCAGCCCTGCCTTCTCCCAGCATCGGGCCCAGGTGGTCAGCGCCGGGCGGCGGACGCTAGGTGAACGCAGACACTAGCCCTTTGGTCCTGGGGGCGGGCCGCCCAGAGGCCCCGCCAGCGGACGTCAGCCTGGCGGGGCGGGGCGGTGTTGCCCGGCAGAAAGTTCAGTCTCAGTCTGTAAGTGCACCAGCTGGTGGCCTGCGGCCCGGCTAGTGCCCCGGACGATGGTGCGCGCCCAGAATGCTGCAGCGACTCGTCGTGCCGCTGATGGGACTCCTCAGCCTGCGACTCGGCTCCGCTCACGGTAAGGATCCGGACCCCCAGCTTCCCTGCCTTTTCTGCGCCGCCCCACTCTGGGTGGCCAGACCGGACTCCGACCCTGGTCACCCATCGGCCTTCGACAGTCACCACATTAAAGCTGTGTATCTCACTGAGAAGTTCTTCTGACTGGCCCTCTAGGGCATCCATTATCTCCTCCTTCCTTGGGTCTTCCTCTTTCCCTGCAAGCCGGAATAGGCTCGCTATGAGTTGGAACCAACTCGATGGCATTTAACAACTGCAACCTAGAGGCCGCTGCCCTGGCTTGCCTATTATGAACTTGGAAGCGACTGAGATTGATTTGTCACCGTGGGTTGAATGGTGCTTGGGGTGGATGGAAAAAAGAAAAGTCTTCCCACCCCCAGCTCATCGTCCACCCCACTTCGGACAAGTCATACATTTCGCCCTGGCATTTTTGTAGTTCTAGTTCAAATGATGGGATCACTTGTAAGCGTTTGGGACCATATTGATCCTCATCTGATGCTACTTCCTTGCCCATCCAATTAACTGACTTCTGCCTCTGCCCCATCGCACGCTTTCCTTACCTTCACCCGTTCTTACGCTTTCTCCCACTCCCTTCCTCTGCCACCTACCTCTCTCCTCCTTTATCAGACCGAGTCCCCCTCAACTAGTTGGCAACTACCCTGCCAACTCTGCTGGGAAAGTTTCTGCCATTGTTGTTTGTTCTTAAATGCCAGTAGAGTTGGTTCCGAATCATTAGCAACCTTACATAGAGTTTCCCAGGAGCAGCTGGTGGGTTTGAACCCCAGACTCTGTGGTTAGTAGTACAGGGCTTGTCCTATAGCACCACACCAAGACTCCATTAGGAAGAGTAAGGAGAGAGAGAATTAGAGGGACCAAGAGCAGAGGCAGGGGGAGCAGAGATGGAAAATTGCTACTGTAAGATGCCAAAATATAAATAAAACACAGGCCAATCACATGATTGAAAGCTGAGTTGGGGGTGCACCACAAAAATGGGTTACGGTTTTTCACTTTCTGTTTAATGTTTTAAAATCAAGACACATGCTTGAGAATCAAAGACAGCCTAAGAAAGAAAGTGAGAGATGGGGATAAGACGCGTTTTCTAATGGCAAAGTCAGGGGGAAAGTATTATTACAGAGATTAAGAGAAGTTAGAGAAGACAGAAACTGGTGGAACCCCGAGACTATGGCCCTTGGCCGTCTTTCCGATCTGGAAGTAAACTCACCCCCTATGGCTGAATTTTCAGCCAAACAGTAGATAGATATAGGGGAGACAACACTAGTGAGGCACACACACACACACACTTCAGAAGAGGTGGAGAAAGAAGGAGGAATGGAAACAAAAAACACAGGGAGGAAGTAGGATAAGTGATGTTCCGTTCCGTTAAGGGGATTGCAGTCGATGAGGTGAAACAAAGTTTTGTGTTTTTTTTTTAATGGAAAACTGATGATCTGCTCTGTAAACCTTCATTCAGTTCACACACAAAAAAGGTTTAGGTTTTTGTTTTTTTAGAAAAAAGAGAAGTTGGAGAACAAGGGAAACAGGGCAGGGTCTCTGTCAAATTGAGAGTTATGAAAGGATGAAGGAGACAAGGGAAGTTCACTGTGTATTGATTAACTTTGCACAGACTTCATTGAACTGAATAGATCTCAAGATTTCTAAAGAAGTTGTACTGAAGGAAGAAGTTCATCAAGGTTACTGAGGCTCATGAAGTGGGTATTTCCTGAAGTGTGTATTGAGGGGACAGGTGGGTGGAAATGGGGGCTGGTATTTAGCATTTTACCTTGGAGCCCTTTCTGTGTGAAAATGACCTTAGCCCAGTTCAGAACCAGAGATGGTTTGATCTGACCTTTCCTAGCCTAAGACTTAGCATCTGGCAGTAGGGAAAGGTTTTTCTAGGAGCTAGGGAATGGGATAAGCACTTTACTTGGACAAGCTCAGAAGAGCCATAAAGAGAAATCGGTAGATGTCAACAAACAGGATATGAATCCAAAGAACCCCAGAGAGGTGTCCTGAGGTTGGAGCCAAGGCTGGGGCCAGGCCTGGAGATGGGGCTAGAGTAGGGACAGGGATTGGGCAATCAGGGAGTAGGTGATCTGAGACCTCATTGCCCGTGTGCCTTATTCCTCAGCCTCTATCTTCTTCCTGGGATGCTGTACCATCTTTGGAATCAGACACTTGAGGATTCAAGTCCCCACTTTGCTCTTTGAGTGATTGGCATCTCTTAACTTCTCTGAGTGTCTGTTTGTTCTTAGATCCAATTGGGGTAAATGCCTACCTTCTAGTACTGCTGTGGTAACTAAATAAGACAACCTAGCACAATGGTAGTTCACAGTCAAGTACTCAATATATAATTCTTGCTGTCGTCATCATCATCTTCATCCCTGGGAGATGACTGAGAAATGCTAGGCTCTGTGAATCCTAGTAAGGAGCCCTGGTAGTGCTGTGGGTTAAGAATTGGATTGCTAGCTGCAAGGTCTGCAGTTCAAACCCAACAGCTGCTACATGGGACAAAGATGAGTCGGTCTGCTCCCCTAAAGATTTATAGTCTCAGAAACCCTATATAAGGTCACTATGTGTTGGAACCGGATCCCTGCAGTGGGTTTAGTTTTTGTGGTTGTGAACCCTGATACTGACATTCTTCTCTGCAGGCACAGAACTGCCCAGGCCTCCATCTGTGTGGTTTAAAGCAGAATTTTTCCACCACATCCTTCACTGGACACCCATTCTGAACCAGTCCCAGAGCACCTACTATGAAGTAGCGCTCCAGAGGTGAGGAAAAGGAGGGCAGAGGGAGAAGGGAGCGAGAGAGTAGTAGATCCATTTCCTCTGCTCCTCTGGCACAGGGAAGACACATGTCTTCCTACTGAAGTGAGACTTGGAGAGACTTTGACACATCTTCATCAAATTAATAAGCACTAATTGAAATCCTAGTGTGGCGCTGTAGAATAATGAACTGCTAACTGCAAGGTTGGTGGTTCAAACCCACCAGCCACTCCTCGGAAACCCTATACAGAGTCACTATGAGTTGGAACTGACTTGACTGGAGCAATAATAATGTACCAGGCAATGTGCTGAGGGAACTCTGAGAGGAAAGGCCAATGTACTGCCTCTACCCTCAAGACTTTTTCATCTTAATGCCAACAGGGAAAGTATCCACCATATAGTTGGAGAAAAAAGAAGCTGTAATGATTGCAAGTGTAATTTGGAGATAAGAGTAATTAGGCTGTTTTGTCAGGGGCAGCACATATCACTGGAGACGGAGCTAGGCCTGGAGCTAGTCATAATCCAATCTAAACGTCTCTGAGCCACAGAGAAATTGATATAGGGTCCCAGACCCTCCTAGGAAGCATATGCCTTGAACTAGGGGAACCAGTCTGAGACCTGTACCAGTGTCTCTCATAGTGAGGGTCTCTCCCCTAGCCTTTGAGCTTCCCTCTAAAGGGGACAGGTTTGAGCACAAGTTCTTATCCATGTGCTCGTTGTGATGTCTCCTCAGATATGGAACAGAGCCCTGGAAGGTCATCACCTGTAACCAGACCCTGGCACAGTCCTGTGACCTCACTGCGGTCACCCTAGACCTGTATCACGGCACCATTTACCGGGTCAAAGTCCGGGCAGTGGACGGCAGCCAGCGCTCCAACTGGACCCTCTATAACACCCGCTTCTCCGTGGAAGAAGGTGCTTTTTCTTCTCTTGGCCTAGAATGTGGCATTCTGGGCCCCTTCCATCCAGAAGTTCTAGTCTAAAGCTTTTCTCTGTTCCCATAGTTGCCCATGTCAGCAACCAGACTTCCTGCCTGGAGACTTAGTTGGCCAACAGGCTCAAGTCAAAAACAGTCCTTTGGAGAAAGCTTAGATGAAAATAGAGTAATTGAGGTTTTCAAAGGAACTAAAGTTGTTTATCCTACAAAAGAGAGGTCTCAGGATGGGTTGGGCCAGCTGAGTCACAAGATCAGGCCCGTGGACTCCTAGGGTTCGGGAGATGAAATAAATCCATAAACACTTAGCAAAGGTCAGGAAGCAGTAGGTAAAATTTTGATCAGGTCCCTCTTCCTTTAGGGATGAATTCTGAGGGTCAGGATGTAAGGCATTGTAGGGGAAGTACTACAGAAGAAAAGTGGGGAATCCTTTTCTGGGGAGACAAGACCAAAGGATAAGCCTCAGACTTAATAGGATTCTTCTACTCCTCAAATTGGGATCGAGTATGTTCTGTGTAAAAGTCCCTGGGTGACACAAACGTTTGTACTCAATTACTAATTTAAAAGTTGGCCGTTAGAACCCACCCAATTGCACCTCAGGAGAAAGGCTTAGCGATCTGTTTTTATAAAGCTTACAGTCAAGAAAACCTTAAGGAGCAGTAGATGAGGAAAGAAGGCTTAGACAGGCAGTATAACTTTCCCAACGGATTGTCTTGAGTAGGAATCAACTCAACAACAATGGATTTGGTTCTAGTTTCATACTCTATGTGTGTGCCAACCCTGCTGTGAAGGAATGGGAGTCAGACTTGAACGTCTAGGAAGTCAGTGACTCCCAAATGCAAATCTACAGGCCAGTGTCCAGCAGGCTATGGAATCATTACTAGGGAAGTATGATTAAAACATGTTTCCAGGGCCTAGTCCCAGAAATTCAGATTCACTGTCTTAAGTGACTCTAGGGCAAATGTGTTTTTAACATGTTCCCCAGGAAATCTTCTGATTCATCTTGGTTGGAGAACCTCTGGCCCAGGTTTATAGGTAGACAAAGCTGGAGGCAAGGAAGGCATGGGTGGAAGGATGCCAAGGCTCTCCCTAACCTGCAGGCCTAATTGATGTATTGCCTCCCACTCAGTGACTCTGACAGTTGGCAGTGTGAAGCTTGAGATACGCAATGGCTCCATCCTCGGGACAATCCAGCCCCCCAGGCCCAAGATGGCCCCAAGAGGTGACACATACGAATGCATCTTCAGATACTTCCGAGAGTATGAGATCGCTCTTCGAAAGGTGCCGGGAAACTACACGGTATGGCACTCCCTGGCTTCCCTGCCACCTGGGCTGGAGCACCATGGGAATGCTTTGCTGGCAGAATCAAGAGAGGCCCTGAGGGGTTCTGGGGAAGAAGAGTGTAGAAATGACCCCAGCCTCCAAACCTGTGCTCCTTGGAGCACCTGCGAGACATAGGGCACCACGGGAGACATTTTGTAGCTATTATTTCTGGTTCTTTCACAGATAGGTATTTGATTTCCATTTTCTACATGAGGAAAGGAGGCTTAGACAGGCAGTATAACTTGCCCAAGGACACCTCCTAAAGGGGAGATCTGGAAACGGAATCCAGGGTTGTTTATCTGCAAATTTCATCTTCTTTCTTCTCCAACACAACTGATTCACAGTTGTGGCACTGTCGGATAAGCACTTGACTGCTAACTGCAAGGTTAGCAGTTGAAACTCACCAGCCACTCCTCGGAAACCCTGATAGCTATGAGTCGGCATCGACTCAAAGACACTTAACAACAACCGACAACAGCTGATTCCAGCCCATTCTGAAAAGGTCTCCAGCGTCTATAAAAGACTCACTTTTCTCTTTTAATATAGAAAAAATGACAATATCTACAATATCTTTTAATATAAAATAAATTACAATATCTACGGAGATCTTGGGCTGTGTTCATAATCACAGGTTTTGCTATCTTAGAAAAAGAAGATTGAAACTGTGGGTAGAGGCAAGGGGTTGTTGACAAGATCAACTCTAAAGGCTCTCAACTCCAGCTCTCCACTTCTGTAGCTCGAGAACCAGAGCAGTTTACTTATTGAAGTTGTTGTTTGCATGTCAGGCCATAAACAAGAAGGTGACACAAGAAAACTTCAGCCTCCCAACCTCTGGAGAGGTAGGAGAGTTCTGCGTGAAGGTGAAACCATCCATCGGCTCCCGAACTAACAAAGGAAGGTGGTCCAAAGAGGTGTGCATCACCCTCACCAGGCTGTGTAAGTCTAGTCAGGGATGCTGTCAGAGAGGGGGTGGAGGCTAAGAGGCAGAAAGGACCCACATGACCCAGAAAGGATCTAGTCAAGGCTACTGGGACCAGGCCTGGTGTTAAGCACTCACCCACGTATCTCTTCACCATCATACAACCTTAAGAGAGAGATCCTCATTATCCCAAGTTTAGAGTTTGGGAAATTCCTTGAGGCATGGAGTGTAACCACAACATCTGGTGTCCCACAGCTAGGATCAGGTGGCAGTGCAGGTGTCTGGATTCCCTGGTGCTTCCGCTTGAGCACAGCTGAGCTTCCCAGGATCCAACCCCACCAAGCAGCCCTCAGGCAGCTGTGGTAGTTCCTGTTTGTTGCACTCCTTTGCAGTTCTGCCTCAGAGCCCAGGGTGCAAAGGGCCTTCTCCTCAGGCCACAAGAAGCAGAACTAAGATGACTCCTTGCCACAAACACTGCACCAGGCCCTCAGCCAGGTGCTCCAGTGGCAAGGGGGAGGATAGAGGAAGATAGGAGTGTCAAGGTCACCGTCCAGCTCATGAGGATCTATCTTACCACCCTCAGAATTATTGCTTTCTTTGCACTCATTGTTGCAGCCTTTATATCAATCCATTTCGTTGGGGTTCATCCTTTTTTTCACTGATCCTTTACTTTACCAAGCATGATGTCATTCTCCAGGGATTGTAACATGTCCAAAGCATATGAGATGAAGCTTCACAATCCTCTCTTCTAAGGAGCATTATGATTGTGCTTCTTCCAAAGATTTGTTTGTTCTTCTGGTAGTCCATGGTACTTTCAATATTCTTCACTAACACCATAATTCAAATACATCAAATTTTATCCTATCTCCCTTATTCATTCTCCAGCTTCCACATGCATATGAATTGATTGAAAATAACACAGGTTGAGTCAGGTACACCTTTGTCCTCAAAGTGGTATCTTAGCTCTAAAACACTTTAAAGAGGTCTTTTACAGCAGAGTTGCCTAATGGGACACAGCCTTTGATTGCTTCACAACTGCTTCCATGGACAATGATTATGGCTTCAAGTAAAACAAAATTCTTGACAACTTCAATCTTTTTTTTTTTTTTTTTTATCATTTATCATGATGTTTTTTATGGATCCAGTTGTGAGAATTTTTTTTTTCTTTACACTGAGAATCTATACCGAAGGCTGTATTCTTTAATCTTCAGCCATAAATGCCTCAAATCCTCTTCGCTTTCAGCAAAGTTGTGTCATCTGCATATCCAAGGTTTTTAATGAATCTTCTTCTAAGTCGGATGCCCTGCTCTTCTTTGTATAGTCCACTTTCTCTGATTGTTTCAGATTAAATAAGTATTGTGAAAAGATATAAACCTGACACACATCTTCCCTGATTTAAACCACACAGTTCTGCTCAAATGAATTGTTCTGCTTAAATGACTGCCTTTTGGTCTGTGTCCAGGTTCCTCATGAGCACAATGAAATGTTCTGGAATTCTCATTCTTCACAATGCTATCTAGTTTGTTATGATCCACACAGTTAATGTCTTTGTATAGTCAATAAAACATGAGTAAACATATTTCTGCTATTCTTTGCTTTTATCCAAGATCTATCTGGCATCAGCAATTATATCCCTCATTCCACATCCTCTTCTGAATCTGGCTTGAACTTCTGGAAACTCTCTGTCAATGTGCTGCTGTAATTGTTTTTAATTATCTTCAGCAAAATTTTATTTGCATGTGATATTAATGATATTATTTGATGATTTATTCATTCTATTGTGCCCTCTTTCTCTGGAATAGGCACAGTTATGGAGCTCTACCAAACAGTTGGCCAGGTGTCTGTCTTCCACATTTTTTGGAATAGACTAGTGAGTACTTCCAGCACTGCATTGGTATGTTGAAATATTTCAGTTGGTGTCTTGTCAATTCCCAGAGCATTGTTTTTTCTAAAACCTTCAGTGCAGGTTGGAATTTTTCCTTCAATACTATCAATTCTTGGCCATATGCTTTATCCTGAAATGATTGAAAGTTGACCAATTCTTTTTGATACAGTGACACTGTGTATACCTTCCATCTTCTTTTGATGCTTTCCTACATGGTTCAATATTTTGTCCATAGAATCCTTCAATATTGCAAATTGAGGCTTGAACTTTTTCCTCCCATTCTTTTAGCTTGAGAAATGCTGAGCATGTTCTTCTCTTTTGATTTTCTAACTCTAGATCTCTGCACACTTCATTTTAATACTTTACTTTGTCTTCTTGAAGTGTCCTTTGAAATCTTCTGTTCATCTTTTTTACTTCATAATTTCTTCCATTCACTTTAGCTACTCTACATTCAAGAGCTAGTTTCAGAATCTCTTCTGACATCCACTTTGGTTTTTATTTTTTTCCTATCTTTTTAGTCTTTTCTTTCTTTCTTTCTTCATGTATGATGTTATTAATGTCATCCCACACTCTTTTGGTCTTCAGTCATTAATGTTTAGTGCATCAAAATTGTTGATGAGATGGTATCTAAATTCAGGTAGGATATATTCAAGGTCTTATTTTGGCTCTCATGGACTTGTTTAATTTTCTTCTGTTTCATCCAGAACTTACAAACAAGCAATTGATGGTCTGTCTGTTCTACAGTCAGTCCTTGGCCTTGTTTTGACTGATGTTGTTGAGTTGCTCCATCCATCATCTCTTCCCACAGATGTAGCCAGTTTGATTCCTGTGAACTTCATCCGACAATATCCACATGTATTGTCACCATTTATGTTGAACAAACATATTTGCAATGAATATCTAATTGGTCATGAATAATTCTATCATGCAATCTCCAGCATCATTTCTATCACTATTTTCTATTTTTGCAACAACCAATCCTTTCTCTTTGTTTCCAACTTTTTCATTTCAATTACCAGTAATTATCAGTGCATCTTGATGGCATGTTTGATTAATTTCAAACTGAGGAAATTGGTAGAATTCTTCAGTTTCTCCAACATTGGCTTTGGTGCTTGGTACGTTAGTTTGAATAATAATGGTATTAACTGGTCTTCTTTGTAGACATATGGATAGTATCCTATTATAGTCAGTATCGTACTCCAAGGTAGATCTTGAAATGGTTTTTCTAATGATGAATGTGATACCATTCCTCTTGAATTTGTCAATCTTGCATAGTAAACCATATGATTGTCGAATTCAAGATGGCCAATACCAATCTATTTCAGCTCACTGATGCCTAGGATATTCATCTTTATGAGTTCCATTTCATTTTGAGAACTTCCAATTTTCTTAGACTCATATTTCATGTATTCTTTGTCCCAATAATTAATGGATGTTTACAGCTGTTTATTTTTATTTTGAGCCATTCCCCATCAGCAACTGAAAGTCCTGAAAGTTTTGCTCTATCCATGTCATTAAGGTTGACTCTACTTGTAGGAGACAACTCTTCTTCAGTCATATTCTGGGTGTCTTCTGACTTGATGAACTCATCTTCCGGCATGATATCAATGTTTTGCTACTATTCATGAAGTCCTCAGAGTTGGGCCGCCTATTCCTTCTTCCTAGTCTATCTTAGTCTGCTGAAACTTATCCACCATGAATGATCCTGCTGGTATTTGAAACACCAGTTGCATAACATCCAGCATCACAGCAACACTGAAGCTAGCACAGTATAACAAACTGGCAGACGTGTGGAGCTCATAGAGGTTAAGTAATATGCCCATGATCCCACAGCTAGTAAGTGATGCAGCTGAATTCAAACCCAGAGGCCGCTAAAGCTCTGTTCTTTCCTGCTTTGCCATCTGAGTTATATACAGAAGGCTGGAAGCAGAGACATCATGTCTGATGATGGAAGGCTTTGAGGCTGCGCTTGGACGGCCAGGCAAGGGTTCTCAAGAACCTAGATATATCTAGACCTGCGGCCTGAGGTAGTCTCAGGACTTCCTGGGGCCGTTCACTGGGTGGTTTCTAAGAGTGGCTGAGGTTCCCCTGGGGACCCACCCCTCTTTTTCCCACAGTGCCAGATCACCGACTCATTTCTCTGGGCCTGCAGATTTCACCCCGACCATCCTCAGTATTGGATCTGCCTTTGTGCTGCTGCTCTTTGGAGCCCTGGCCTACTGCCTGGCCTTCCAGGTATACGTACGACGCCGGGGGAAGCTGCCCAAAGTCCTGGTGAGTGTCACAACAGGCCACTGCCTATCCTTCCCAGTTACACCAGTACTCCTAAGTACTGGAGAGCCCTCTCAGGTAGTCTATCCCTTCAGTCCTCCCCCATTCTCAGCATTGGCATCAGAAGGCATCTTGGTCAAGCACCATGAGCACAAATCCCAGTCTTGAGAATACCACTTTCTAGTAGCTCAGATAAGACACAGACTGAGTAATCACAGCCCCCAATGCTTCAATTTGTTATTGTTTATTATTAGTTGACCATGGATTAGCCCTTGTGCATTAGTGCCCATGATGTAGGTACAATTATTATTTTCATTTCATGAGTAAAATAAACTGAGTTACAGAGAGATTGTTACATGCATAGGATCACACAGCGAGGAAGAGTCAGGGCTGATATCCAGTCCCTAAATTGCTGAGGAGTGCTTCAGAGAGGAGAGGGAGCATAGAAAACTGGAAGTGCTGGCCTTGAGCTGCTTTCAGAATGGGCAATAGCACAGTGAAGAGGTTCATTCCTGACAGGAGGGATTCCTGGAAGGGCCAAGTCTTATGTTTCTCCAAATGTTTCCTCCTGCCATGGCATGTTGTCAAATGCTGTGCTGTAATGAGCCAACCTCCAAAATTCATCTTGCAAGAATTGAGCAGTATTTTCCAAACCTTAGCCTGTCTCTGGCTCATTCCAGACCCCATCAAAGATTGCCCACCACCGCTCCTACATCTGCCATTACTAATGTAAGATTGTCCAGAATTCATCTGGAGAGGACCCAGCTTGGTCAGGGAGACAAGAGCCCCCGGAAACTCATAGCTGGGAGGAGAACCTCCAGAGGAACACTAGGATTAGTAGGAACTAAGGAGAGACACATAGACTCTGAAATTATTTTGAGTAAGAACTCCAGGGAGTGGAGATAAGGGTGGCACTGCCTGGCCTATGTAGGGTCTTTGTCCAGGATAAAAGGGCTCAGGCTCCCAATGCCAGTAGAGAACTGGGTTGAGAGGTAATGTGAACAGACCAGGGGTAGGTAGCCCTACAGCTTTAGGGGATTATAAAGTTCTGTCTGGTGTCTAACTGTAATGTCTACTTGTTGTCCTTGGAGCACTGGAGAGATTCAGTTCTGAAAGCATGTATTCATTGACTTAACAAGTTCACTGAGTCTATGCCATATACAGGGCCGGGAGCTGAAGGTACTGGTGGTTTAGAGCTGCATGTACCATGGAACCTGTCCTTAGGGATGGGAGACTGGAATATGATCACTAGAAAGCAGAGGGACTAGAGAAAGAATGGTCCCAGTACACAGGTTGGGGGGATTCACAATTTGGGGTCAGGAAAGGCAGTTAGAAAGAGAGGAAATGAGGCAGTAATTGCTAAGCACCTGCTGCATGCAAAACATTGTGAGGGGAAAACTTATTAGCATGGTCCCTGATACTAAGGGACTTAATCACAGTTTTGTGGTGTTACTAATGGGTAAGCTATTAACTTCAATGCAAAGCACAGTAAAATCGACATAGATGCAAAAATAATCCCAGGAGATGACAGATAACTTCCTTTTTTTTGTTGTTGTGCCCTCTGTACATTTGGGTCATAGAATTGCATTGTCCTTGAGGCTTATTTTCTTCTCCCAGACAAATAGGGAGTTCTTAGTTGGGGCAAATGGTTAATATCATCAACTACAAACCTAAAGGTTGGAGGTTCGAGCCCACCCCACTAGAGGCACCTTGGAAAACAAGCCTGGCAATGTGCTTCCGAAAGAACACAGCCATTGAAAATCCTGTGATGAAGCACAGATCTACCCTGACACACACAGGGTCTCCAAGAGCCAAAGTCCGCTCAATGGCAATTGACTTTTTAGGGTACATACACTCAATTACCTTCATTGAACAATCACAGTCATTCTTAACTTTACAAATAACTTAGAGTGTGCCTTGTTCTCATTCGTTAGTTTCTTTGATCTGACCTTTCCACAGTCCAACAGGTAAAGATTATAAGATCAGCAGGGGATTTTAAATCAGGACAGTTGAATACAAATTTCAGGTTTGTTCTTTGCTGCTGTGTGACTTTGGACAAGTCATTTAACTTCTCTTAGCTTCCGTTTTCTCCTCTAGGAAACAGAAAAAATAGCATTTCCCTTATAGAATTATTGGCAGGCAAATTCAATTCAGCAAATACTGGTCTAAGCACTTCCTGTGCAATAACCGAAATGTAAGGATGCATTGTTGTTGTTAAGTACTGTGGAGTCGGTTCCAATTTGTAGTGACCCTACACAGGGATGCATATACCGTCATTATTTCCATTTTAAATATGAGGACTGAAGCACCGAAAGGATAAGTAATTTGGCTAAGGTGACATAGCACATAAGAGACAGAGCTTGGATTTGAACCCATGTGCGATGCTGTGGGATAAAGCACTGGACCGCAAGGTCAGTTTGAATCACAAGGTTGGCAGTTCAAACTCACCAGTCCCTCCTTGGAAACCTTATACAGTATCACTCTGAATTGGAACCAACTCAACAGCAGTTAACAACAACAGTCTAGCTTCAGAGTGCACATGCATACTCACCAAACTATGTGACATTTTCTTGGATCCACAACCAGTGCTCAAAGAAGCAGCAGTCAATAAATCAAATGATCTGTTGCATTGGACGGAGTCCTGGTGTGGTGCTATGGGCTAATGCGCCAGACTGCAAAGTCATTTGAGCTGCAAGGTCGGTGGTTCAAGCTCACCAGCGGCTCCTTGGAAACCCTACACAGGGTCGCTATGGGTCTATGGGTGGGAATCGATTCAATGGCACTTAATAACAACAACAACATTGGGCGGATCTGCTGCAAAAGACCTCTTTAAAGTGTTTAAAGAGTAAAGAAGTCACTTTGAGGATTAAGGTGCACCTCACTCAGGCCATGATATTTTCAATCACCTCATATGCATGTGAAAGCTGGACAATGAATAAAGAAGACCAGAGAAGAATCCATGCATTTTAATTAAGGTGTTGGGGAAGAAAGTTGAAAGTACCATGGACTTCCAGAAGAGCAAACAAATCTGTCTTGGCAAAAGTACAACCAGAATGCTCCTTGGAACCTAGGATGGAGAGACTTCATCTCATGTACTTTAGGCATGTTATCAGGAGGAACCAGTCCCTGGAGAAGGATAGCATGCTTGAAAAAGAGACAGGCCCTCCATGAGATGGATTCACACAGTGGCTCCAACACTAGGCTCAAACAGAACAATTGTGAGGATGACAAAGGATCAGCCAGTATTTCCTTCTACTGTCTCATGAGTTGGAGCAGATTCAATAGCACCTGACAACAAGTCTAACCCCAGAATATACATCTTTATTCACCAAACTATGTGAGATTAAAAGGGACTCAATCAATAAGTGATCACATGCTAAGGGAATAAAATCATAGGTGTAACAGTGGATCCATAAGTCAATCAACAAACGTTACGCTTGTCTGCCAAGTGCTAGCTCAGTTTAGGCTGTGGGGACAGAACAAGGATATACAGCTCTTTTCCATAAGGAGTGTATATTCCGTTGGGGTGGGTGAGTATGTGTGTTGAGGTAGGGCCAGGGGGACAAAAGCAAGCCAAAAAATAAATAATAATTCTAGAAATTAAGTGCTATAAAGAGGTGAACTAAGTTAATGAGGAGGTATTGACTGTAGTACCACTTACAGCAGGGTCATCAAGAAGACCTCTTTAAGGAGGTGCCATCCATCTAAGCTTAGACCTGAAGCATCAGGAGGACATAGCATGCCCAGGGCAGAAAGAAGAGAAGAGCAGAAGCAATATGCAAAGGCCCTGAGATAGCACTGTTCCTGGGGAAGAAAGGAAACCATTGTGACTAGGCAGCCGAGTGAGTGGGGGAGAATGGCCAAGTGACTTCCCCAGGGCCCTCAGCAATTAATTAGTGGGGAGCTGGTCCTTAACTGCACAGCATTTCTAAAGCTGAGGGCACTGAAGGAAAATAATCAAGCCTCAACTTGCAATATTGAAGAATTCTATGTGCAAAATATTGAACCATGCAAGAAGTATCAATAAAAGATGGAAGAAATACACAGAATCACTGTGCCAAAAAGAATTGATTGACATTCACCCATTTCAGGATGTAACATGTGATCAAGAACCATTGATACTGATGGTAAAAGTCCAAGCTGCATTGAAGGCATTAACAAAAAATAAGGGTCTAGGAATTAATGGGATACCAATTGAAATCTTTCAACAAACTGATACCTCCCTGGAAACACTCACTAGTCTATGCTAAGAATTTGGAGGACAGCTACCTGGCCAACTGACTGGAAGAGATTCATGTTTATACCCATTCCAAAGAAAGGCAGCCCAACAGAATGTGGAAATTATTGAACAATATCATTAATATCACCTGCAAGTAAAATTTTGCTGATGATGTTTAAAAATGATTGCAGCAGTATATAAACAGGGAACTGCCAAAATCCAAGCCAGATTTAGAAGAGGATGTGGAATGTAGGGTATCACTGCTGATATCACATCGCAGAAAATACCAGAAAGATGTTTACCCATGTTTTATTGACTTTGCAAAAGCATTCAGCTGTGTGGATCATAACAACCTATGGATGACATTGTGAAGAATGAGAATTCCAGAACTCTTAATTGTGCTCAGGTGGAACCTGTACATAGACCAAGAGGAAGTCATTTGAGCCAAAAAAGGGATACTACATGGCTTAAAATCAGGAAAGGTGTGTGGCAGAGCTGTGTTCTTTCACCATACTTACTCAATCTGTATGCTAAACAAATAAGCTGAGAAGCTGAACTTTGCAAAGAAGAATGGGGCATCAGGACTGGAGGAAGACATTAAAAGCCTCTGATATGCAGGTGACACAACCTGAAATAGAAGAGGATTTGAGGCACTTGATGAATTACAACTCAGTGTAAAGAAGAAAAAAAAATCCTCAAATCATGATAAATGGAGAAAAGATTGAAAAGATTGTCAAGGATTTCATTTATTTGGATCCACAATCAATGCTCATGGAAGCAGCTGTCAAGAAACCAAATGACCTATTCCGTTGAGCAAAAAGACCTCTGCTTGCAAAAGACCTCTTTAGAGTCTTGGTGTGGCACTGTAGGATAAAACACTGGACCCCAAGGTCAGTTTGAACCACAAGGTCAGCAGTTCAAACTCACCAGCTGCTCCTTGGAAACCCTACAGAGTGTCACTATGATTCAGAACTGACTCCATAGCACTTAGCAACAACAACAAAGGGTTAAAGAGCAAGGATGTCACTTTGAAGACTAAGATGTGCTTGGCTCAAGCCATGATATTTCCAATTGCCTCAGATACATGTGAAAGCTGAACAATGAATAAGGAAGACTGGAGAAGAATTGCTGAATTTGAATTATGGTGTTGGGTAAGAATATTAAAAGTACCATGGACTTCTAGAAGAATAAAAAAGTCTGTGTTGGAAGAAGTACAACCAGAATGTTCCTTAGAAGCCAGGATGGTGAGATTTCATTTCACACACTTTGGACATGTTATCAGGAGGGATCAGTCTCTGGAGAAGGACATTAGGCTTGATCAAGTAGAGGGTCAGTGAAAGAGACCTCCAATGAGATGCACCCAAACAGTGGCTTCAACAATGGACTCAAACACAACATTTGTGAGAATGCTACAGAACCTGGCAGTATATTAGGCGGAATGGGATAGAGTAGAGAAGAATGGAAAATATCAGGGCAAGCAAGTATTATGGGAGCTTTGTGGTACGGTGGACTTCTGGTGTGGTGCTGCCGGTTAATACGGTAAACTGCCAAGTCGGTTTGGGCTGTAAAGGCCGGCAGTTCCAACTCAGAAACACTGTACAGAGTGTCTGTACAGGGACTGTGTACAGGCTCGCTATGAGTCAGACTTGATGGCACTTAACAACAACAACAAAGTGGTACAGTGGTTGAGCTTGGCTACTGACTAAAAGGTTGGAGGTTCAAACCCACCAGCTGCTCCACGGAAGAAAGATGTGGCAGTCTGTTTCTCGGAAACACTATGGGTCAGTTCTACTCTGTCTTACAGGGTTGCTTTGAGTCAGAATCAAATTGATGGCAGTGGGG